GACTTTCTGTTACACGGACCCTCAGTTTCGTTACACTGGGACCTAAATAAATATATTGCCTGTCATATCAGTGCACATCTGTCTTTAAATTGCCTTAAGCTTTCAATCAATGGTCTTGAGAACTCGTCAGATTGGAGCTTATCTATACCTGTTGGAAGTGTTTCACAACTTAGAATTGCATAATATTGTCAATCAGTGGTCTTGAAATAATAAGTGGCTTAGTAAGGGTTTACAATTTTCCATATCCCGAGAATGAGTTTTTCCTGTATCTTATTATTCAGTAATGCATCTACCTTTGTGCTGATAAAAACAATAAAAATTCCCTCGGTAATATAAAATATCGACGTTTATATTTTCGTTGCTAAGCATTAGCATAGGCACCTCAAAGCTTTTATATTCTAATTCGCTGATGCTTAATCGTATATAAATTATTTATCGTCTAATAACTCTCAACGACTAAAACCATTACATCTTCAAACACCAAAATCATTTATTTATAAATTGCAAGGAATCGATGTGTCTCTGCCTGTGTACAGACAGTACAATATCACATAAAAAGCCTTTGCTCCATCACCAGTCATTAGAGTAAGATCTACCGCACAGCCAATTCCAATTCCAATTCTGATACAGTTATTACCTGTATAAATCTGATAATTTTACAACATATATTCATACAATTGTCTTCATACAAAACAATTTTATAAGGAATAAAGTGGAGAACCAGTGTCAGTTCAGCAGTGCTGATTGACCTCGAATGATCGTTTCTCCTTCTCACGTGATTTGTTCACCGTTTGAATACAGCGGCCCCTGCATAATTCTCAAAGGACCTTCCTCCTAAGAGACGTCATCGTTAAACGACAATAAATACATTTATCGTCACTTTTCTATTTTGAGGTGAAAGAGCAATCGGTATGGGGCATACCAACATCCCTAAACAAGATCTTATCACGAAAATTGGCAAAGGTGACTGCATGTGTATGGGCTTTACTCTCGTGTTGTGGTTTATGGTTTAAATGATTAAATGATAATTGAGCAAAGGCTTTGTTTTGCTTTATTAAGGATAAAACCTAAAGTGAGGCTTTAAAGAAAAAATCGACGGCAGGGTTTTGAAGTACTCAACGAAGTCATTAAAATGGTGTTGACACAGTGTTCCTAGTTGCTCAGATAAAGGAGAAATTTGAGAAACCAAATTTGTTATTTTAACTTCAAAACCGTAATTATTACGTCATCGGTAAGATGACATTTCTGTAAATGCTAAGCAATTTAGCCAGTGATCACTGAATATTTATCTATTTTCCCAAAAATGTGTGTAAGGCAGTAAGTACTTTTTTGCTAACCCAGACACTCACAGTACCCTTTAGCTAGTCTAATCTACATGCACCTGTCAGTTTTTTGATCACCTGTGAAATTTCATGCCTGCTTGATATTTAACCATCTAAAATACTCGTCACAATATTGAAAAAAAATTAAATCATTGCACAACGACCGTGTTTCGTTACGGTTTAGTTGTTAGGTGCAATCTACTTCCTGGTTAGGTCCTTTAAGGCCTCTTAAGCAACGTTACAATGCTGCAGCATATACTACATTTATGTTGCCTTGAGCAAATCGACTTCACTTATAAATATTGATAAAACAGTTTGTTCTTTCAGGCTAGCTCAAGCAGTGGATGGAGACTTCATCATATTGTCCGATTTTTCAAGTTTAATTTTGTTGCCAATTATTGTATTAATATCTGTCAATTACTAACACTAAATGTCGAACTAAATTCAGGTGCATGGAATGTTATCCTTATCGCTTAGAAGTAATTTCCACCTTGTGCAAATTTTCATGGCATGCAGTGCCACAGGGATTGTTGTTGATCATTTTTTATGGCACCAGTAAATAAGAATAATCTCCACGACCTACTTACAAAATGAAAAGGTGATATCTTTACGACACACTTATGTAAAGCTGGTGAGTGCACTTGGCAGTGCTAGAAAATATATCATGTCTGGTAGTTTTGGTGCACAAGAGACCAGATATATGTACATGTACAGTATGAGTTTGAAACTCTAATGATATGTTTAACATTAGTCTCGATTTATTAACCTCAATGCTAACTGATATAAATCAGACTTTATATGTATTTACTATGACATTTTAGTTTCAAATTAAAATATTCCTCTGGCTTTTGAAGATTTATCACTTTTATCATAAGACATTTTGTTGAAAAGAATATAACAGCCATGAAAAATATGACTTAAAAACCTTTTCAAACGTATAGTAATATTTTAAATACAATATATTTCGTAAAATTACACCCAGTAGAGGACATAGACATGATAGCATGAATTTGCTCATACGAATTAGACACCAACAAAACATTTTAAAATATGAATATAGAAACATTTCCACAAATTGACTCAAACTCAGCAAGCTTTATAGATTCTTAGTTGTCCTGCATATATGCAGGACAACTTACCTGTTCTACTATAAAAATCCTGTACTCTAGTTTCTGCCTGAACAGTATTGTGTGGATATATTTTAGAAATATTTCCAGATGCTCCAATCGGTCTCTGTATGGCACAACAATGGCCACCGTGTGTCGTGGCTCACAATCAGTGGGTCTCCAAAATCCTCCGGGTCGTACTTCAGGGAATGTTTTTAAAAGTGACAAAGGTTCTATCTTCCCCTCTGCAAAATAAGATTGTAGTCTAAGAAAATAGGGAAAAATAGGCTGAAACTCATTGTCATGTGCAATTTTTGCATGTTTGCAATTTGATATGACCAAATCTAATGGTGGTTTGGTGTTTTATGGTAAGTACTGCAATTAGAACGATGTGTTAGAGTCTTCAAAGGGCCTTGTTTATACCAGAAAGTAGATCGCAAGTAACGACTACTAGCTGTTAATCGCACCACGATTGTTGCACAATGGTGTATCTTTTTTCAATATTGTGACGAGTTTGAAGATGTTTTAATATCACGCTGACATAAAACTCCAAAAGTATGGTCATACTCTTCAAGGACAAACTTTGGTTTTGTCTGTAAAGCATGGTCTAACAACTTACCCCGGGGTCCAACTACCCCCGGTCTCCCCTAGCCTTCGATGGTTGTAGTGTGAATGTGGTATTAAGTAAAGATAAGAATTTCTTTGGTGGTTTAATTTTTTCCCTTTGTCAAAAAAATCCACTACTGCTGTGATGATATGCACCTTTCAATCAGAATTTATGTAAATATTTTAAATTATTAATAATACCAGTAGGACTAACGAATATTTAGCAAAATATGAAATTCAGAAAAAGATTTTACCAGATGCCCACACTTACCTCATAGCACACTTCCCCGTCATTATTTAATGGTCATTAGTATATATATATATATATATATATATATATATATATATATATATATTCTAATAAATTGCATTTTTTAGATTGCAACTACTCTAGCCAACAGTCACTCCTGCAATAAACATCCTAGCCTTGTTAACTNTATGCAAATCTGTACATTTATTACAGTTTCCCTATTTTTGAATTTCGTTTATCTAATCAATCATCTTTTTACTGCTAATTGTAGTTATTTGCATATCTACGTACAAGGTTAGTTATTCATCTATTTTTGCTTCTCTGTCCTGTGTACGTACGATACGATCCAGCATTCTTGTAGGTCTTTGGTGACGCGGCATTTGTCCAGCAGAGAATTTGTCAAGCCTATTTTTACCTGTAGTAAATGTGTTTCTCGCTTTTCTTTATTTCCTTCTTTGATCTGTACCTTATTTGTGAAGGTCTGATCAACAAATTCATTCATATTGGTAATGACACTGGCTGCCTCCCGTCAGTGCAGCGGGGTGTCAGAGATGGCATTACGATTGAGTGACGATACAAGAACCCCCGTGCGTCTTAGGCGCGTGATATTTTAGCGATTGTGGGGACAAAGCTTTAACTCGCTCTAATCACCATTGTAACCAAACCAAAGATAACTACTTAATAAAGGTGCGCTTATCGTTGTCGGAAAATTAAAATGCAGGTAATGGGGACGAGCGCCTTTGTCGCTGTGCAGATTCTGATAAGAAAGTCCTTGGGACTTAGCTCAGCGACAAGCCCCCCGGTGGACACTGTTTAAACAATAAAGATGACGATGGCACCATTTATTTATCTAAAGCAGCAAGCGCGCTTTTGTTGCGTCTTTATTGCGCCTAAATTACGTTAAAAGGCAACAGCGTTTTATTTGAGTGTCGTCTTTAAAAGCACGTAATGTATTAAAAAGCACATAAAGTGAGATGACTCACAAAGCAGTTTCATAATTTGTAGACAACCCGGATATATTAACAGACAAGTTCACTTCAAACTAGGACCCATCGAACAATGGATGGGTCCTACATGTAAATGTGGATTCAAATTTAAACGCTTGCAACTGACAAGGGTAGGGACGAAGATCAGTTAAACCCAGGGATTAGGGACTTTAAATACCAGCACAAAGCAGTAGGTATCGGGGTAGGACTATCATGCATCAATCGCTATCACGAAGAGCCCAGACTACACGTACACATGCAACAGAATTCGATTTTCCGTTGAATATATTATTGAGAAAACTGCTCAAATATCTCATATAACACATGCACACATATCGTTGAACTATGTCAAATAAAAACGTGTTAAACAAACATTAAGTTAATCAGTTGTCACCTCTTGGCAGCTCACACCATATATGTGTAACAATCAAAGTTTTCATGGGTTATCATGGATCTGTTTGCAATTAACAGTTACAGGTGTCAATCACTTGGATCTGTTACAAACACGGTTTTCATGTGCTACGGATCGACAGGTAGTTGGGGCATTTTATTTATTTTCTGACAAGTTATTTGATGTAATTTCATCTTCAATCGCTTTTTTTTTTGTTTTGCAGTTCATAAATAAACATTTGGATTCACACACGGAAGCTCACATATGAGAAACGGTTATAAATCTCCATGACAAAAAACGAGAAAAAATGTCTTATTAAAAAAAGGCAAGTTTTGAAAATTCATCTTTCAAGCATTTTATTCAAGGAAAATGGATTAACATACATTTTCGTATGAAAACAAAAATGCTATCACGAATAAAACTTAAACTTGAAAGTTTTTTTTTTTTTTTTTTTTTGCTTAACTAAATGAGATGAACAAGTTGGCTTCTGCTTGACAAAATTTCTGTTCCACGTATTCTTCGTAGACGCAAGTGCAGTATTAAACGCCTTTGTACTCGTCTACACCATCTTTTAACTTGCAATCTTCTATACACTGATCATTGCCTGATGATGACTAGGAACCATAGTCAGGATTTTGTACTAGTGTTTATTTCTATTTTTTTTTTTTTTTTCATTTGGAAGCTCTTAATTGTGTCATGAGCATTTTTGTTGAGGACTGTTTACATGTAGCAATATTTTATATCAGTATCTGTATATAAAACAGCCACCTTTATGATATATTTCTAAAACATTTCAACATGCTAAGAAAATGTTGACTATAGCACCTTATGGCAATGTGTCTTACAGAAAATTTTAAATGAACACAAATCCCCATGTCTTTTTTATAAAGCCCTGATGATACTGGATTAGACATTACATGCTGTATAGCTTATTCCATGTCCATGAAAAAGAAACCTTCCACATAGCTCTGGTGGCACTGCTAAGATAATACATGATGTAAAGATGATTCCATGTCCATGAAAAAACTAAACCTCCTCCTAGTAAGCTCTGGTGGTACTGTTAGAAGCAGACCTCTTACAGACATTTGGCACTATGGTGTATATGGTGTATAATGGGCTGGGCAAGTCCACAGAGTAAAGAGGTAAGGTCTTAGTCATCTTTCACATTAGATCTCTCACTAAAGCTTTGGCAATGGTGGAGTTACCCCTGAAAGAAACAAAAACAAATTTTTAAAAATCTATATTTTTTGATATTGTTTGTTTTTGCTTGATCAAACGTGGTACTAGTTACGCCTGTAGCCAAGGTGGGGTGGGGTGGGGGTTCAAATGAACCACCCTTTTTTTGTGGGAAAAGATCTGCTCATGGTAAAATTTGACCTAGGTACACAAAAATTTCGTGGTGAAAAACAAACTTTTTCAGAAAAAGAACACCTCTGTTATGAGGGCTGCGTAAAGTCACAGCACAAGATGAAGAATGAGATTGCACAATATAACCCACAAATATGATTAAGTAACAAACATATTAACAAATACTATTCCAACATTACAAACAGCGCAAAGAAACATTCAAGCATGAGAGAGTAATATTAAAAATGCATACAATGTAGATGTTTAGCTGTGGAGTGGAGATATTCCAAATGTAGGTTAAGCTAATGGGATATTTACACAAAATAGGTTATATCCATGACATTTAAAAAAGGAAAAAAAAAGTAACCTGACATAAATTTGTGGTTACTTTATCATAAGGTTCATATCTATGCTTCTTGATGTCAAATTTTATGCAAGTAACACGCAAACACTTATAGTGCAACATTAAAAATGGATTACCGTATTATTATTATTATTATTATTATCAATAAACTTACTGCTCGTTTTTCTTTATTCTATAAATCTCTCCAACATAGCCACATTTTCCCAAAAGTGAGACAAAATCTTCATCATGAGTGATCACCACCAGTTGAAAGTTCCTCTGACTACAGCGGGACTTGATGATTCTGAAGTAGAAACACAACTAAATTATAGATGAAAATTATCAAACACAAGCCGAAAAACTTTCATGAGGAGGGCCGGGGAAAAGAAATATGGATGCGATCAAGGAGGATATGAAGGAGTTGGGAGTGGAAGATGACCATGCACAGGACCAGTGTGGGTGGAGATGGATAATCTCCCTCAGAAGGAACAGGCCCAAAAGATAAAAAGAAAATATGTCAACATACTCCACTAAAGCATATGCCAGGCTCTCAATGTTGGCTCTGTCAAGGTTAGTGGTGGGTTCGTCCAGGGCCAGGATGCCACAGTTAATACAGAACGTCTCTGCCAGGGCAAGCCGAATTAGGAGAGACGCTAGCACCTAGAAGTAAGGGAAAAATAGGGCAAGTCAATATATAATTTCATTTCAATAATATAATTTTTTGAAAGCACAAGAGAAGCAGCATAGATCCATTGGTACAAAACATTTTCCTGACTTACTTAAAGAAATACTATATGGCCATGAAGGAGCTTTTTAGTGTAAATAAAACATAATATTTTATTCTAATATAAATAAAATAACAAAGACACATAAAACACAAGTAATTCTTAGTGAAAGTAGAAAAGTCTTAAACATTAACAGTAGCAAGAAGTTAACATGCTTTTTTTCTTTTCTGTTATTGATAGTGAAAGATGCAAAGTCCAGTCATGGCTGACATACCCCTGGATTCACTTCAATAGTCAGAGCACCTATTTTATATCATAAAAGAAACCTTCAGGAAAATATCCATTGTGTTAAGAAGACCCCAGAGATTGATCAATTTCTCTCTGGTGAATTTTGTTTCTAGAGGCACTACATTCATATTATTCTACCTTCTGCCCTGCACTGCAGCGCCCTCTCATGTCAATAGGAGTGCCCCCTTTGATCATGACCACCCTGTAGTTATAGCTTCTCTTGCTCTTGCTGATACCTGTGCCATCATCCTCAGAGCGAATTTCAATTGTCTCTATGTCTGAAGAAAGTGTATAAAGAAAATGTATCATTATCAGAAACAAATTCAAGATTAAATCTTTGAAGCATCCTCAGTTGTGCCTTTTTGAAAAGTAGGAAAAGAAACAAACATACTATTCTTTTAATTTTTAACATCCTGTAATTTTTTTAGTGTAAGAATAACAAATAAGCTTGTGTATTCACAAGATGTTACCCCAAGGATGTGGTTAATTTTTCTCCAAATAGAGAGAAATATTCAAAATGTTTTCAAGCATAATAATATAATTCTTACCTGTTCCTCTGTATGTAGTTCTCCACAGCTCCCTGATTATCTTATTCAATTCCTCCATCTTGGATTTGTGGTAACTCATAATGGCCCTGCAACAGTATAAATGTGATCCTAGTCATAAGATAGAAGAGAACAAAAGATATCATGCATGCATTATTTTTTTCCATTAAAACATGTAAAAAAAGGTTGCTGTTAAATAAGCACATGTCAACTGTTACTCTGGCCATCAAGGTAACAACTGTGAAAAAAACTCAAAATCAGTATTAAGCCACAAAACGGTGATTTTTGCCTTTAATATCTAGGAAGATTTCATCTGGCTTGTAAAATGTGACATATATATTAAATAAAGTCAGTCACCACACTGATGTCTAATGAATTAGGAATGAATAGACAGATGTAAAATTGATCTCTTTTCTTGAACTGCATTTGACTTTGTTGAGCTTTGATCAGATTTGCTGCTCAAATGTGTTGATCAAAACAATGTCAAGATTTAAAGTGAAACATTTCTTCAAGAAAAAGAATTTGATCTTGTGAAAAAGAATTTTACAGAAATATCTCCATATCTTGCAGAAATAGCATTAACTGAAAGATTTACCTGTCCAAAGCCATATAATACTTTTCCAGATCTAAATTGGCCAATTCTGTGGTCTGTGAACAAAAAGGATACAACTGTTGAAGTAACGTTACAGATATAAGAATAATATCACTGAACAACACTCTTGTGAACAACATACTGCTATACTGACATACATGTATCTTTAGAGTGGATCTTAAATATAATTTAAAATAAAATTTCAAATTCAAAGTGATTTTAAAAAACAACAAGGTAATGATTACTCATCATTTGTTCTTGCCCCAAATGTAGAAAACCACTGCTTCAGTGCTGTGCTTTATTCCAATAATGTATTCTATGCCATGCTACTAAACTCAAACTATGAACAATCATTTTGCTCACTCTCAGAACAATCATCTTGTCTCTGTATTTGACATCAGCATCTTTGTACATATCATCCTTCAATTCCCTCCTGAACTGACGGATCTGCTCTTCCAGGCCATGCTGTCTGCCTTCCTTTTGGTGTTTCTGGAAAAGTTAACCCACAATCTTGAAAACAGCATAAAAAAGAAAAGTTAACTTTCTGGACCGCACCAAGATAGCAACTGTCACAATGTTTAATAGTTAAAAATTTGAATGACCTCTTAGCACTTTGTTTCAATAAAGAAATATTTAAATCATCTACTTTAACATATAAAAATGCAGACTGAAAAAAAAATGCACCTCCTTTGTTAAAGTCTCATATTCCTCATTCAACTTCCTTCTCTCTCTTTCCAGGTTTGTAGCATCTAGACCTCCAAGCTGTTCTCTTAGTTCTTCAATCTTCACTGTTACCGCAGTTATTTCATCCTCCTTGTTTCTCAGACTCAGGTTGTCATTCAGTTCTCGTTCTTTTACCTACCAAGAAATTTCACACTGATAATCCAGATAGATTTAAAAATAAACCATGAAACTCAGGATAACAAATATGTGCAACTTTACTTAATTTTTAATAAAAAACGAAAGTGGTATATTGTTATATGCTGGGATGAGACTGCCATTTAGTGAAAAAGTGAAGTCCAGGGGGCTGCCTAGGCCAATGATATTTTCGACTCCCAAAAAGTCAGAAATCTGTCAATAGTTGGAAAAATCACATCCATGAATGTGTCTATTAAACCTGTGACCTTTCCCTGACTGTTGCCCTAAGAATGAAGAGAGACATAATAAAATTTAAACAAACAAAAAATAATTTACAGAGAAAAAAAAAAACAATGATACCTGCTGTGTTGTCAAATCTTCCTTTATTTTATTGATTTTTCCATTCAGACTTTCCTGTTCTTGCTGTGCACTTCCCAATTTTTCCTGTATGTCTGCCAGCTTGATTTCTGTGTCATTTAGTGCCCTATCCAACCCCTCCTGTGTGTACCTGATTGTTTAAGGCACGCCCACATTTAAACATGCTACATGCCAACTTTAATTTGAAGCAATAAGACACCTGATATACATTTCATCATTACTGAAAATTCAGTATCTATAATACTGTATCTATAATTAAATAAAAAGTGTTGAGGAGTTATACTGTATAAAGCTGCTTCTTGGCTTTAAATCAATATAAGTACGTTGAACAATGTTACTTGTTTTTCTGCATTAAAAAACATGATATGTATATATCCTAACCATTTACCTTGTATAACTTAGAAATACCAAAAATTGTTACTTTTTCATCTTGAAGATGACACGTTACTGTGGCCAAAGTATAATAAAAAAGGATGCTAACAATGCACAGAATTTACCAATTCTTTTCATACCTCACAATTTCTTTCTGTATTGATTTCACATTTCCTCTTTTATCTTCTAATGTTCTTGCCTGAAAAAAAAAATGCAGAAAAAGAGTACAGGTTGGTACAGGTCTTACAAAATGAAGATAGTTATTTAGGGGAGTGATGAAGGGAATCCATATCCAACTTCACATGAGCAGGTGGTATTTTTTGAATGTACATGAGCAGGTGGTATTTTTTGAATGTTATCTCTATTATAATCTTTATATTTCTGCACAATACAGAAAACTCGTCATTTACTGCTCACCTCTCTTGATTTTTCTTCATTTTTCTCTTCCTTTTGTCTGGTTATCTCATCTTTCTCTTTACGATATTTTTCCAACTGGCTCTATAATAAAACAGTTTAGGCACAAAAATCAAGTGTTAATTCAGAAAAAAAGACTAAAGTGTATTTTATTTTGTCATATTAAGTGTGCTGTTCAGCAGATACTTTACAAATACACATACTCTATATTCAATGTTGTTTTTGTTTATACCATAGAAGTTCTCTACTTATATGTTTATACTCACCATCAGTGGCTGAAGTTGGTTCCTTGCTTCCTAAAAAAGACAATGTGAAAAGGCTACGTGCAGTGGTACAGATTTACTGTGTAAATTAACTATTCCCAGATCAAAAAAGTTATTAGCAACTAATAGGGGTATGACAGGCCATTCTTAACATTAGACCCTTATCATCGCTAGTACTTTCCACTATTTCTCCACCAATATTTCATGCCACATTCAATACTTATAATTTTTTTAATCTGTCCTAGACACGGATATCCACCCACCAACCCTCCTCCTCTACCTCAATTTCTCTATCAACTGCTTGACTGACATTACGAAACTCCACCCACCCTTAACTCAATTCATCTATCAGATGCTTGATTGACATTTCATAACCCCGCCCTCCCTTACCTTGATTTCTCTTTCAGCTGCTTGATTGACACTTGCAAGCTCCGCCCTCCTTTCCTCCAGCTTCAACCTCTGTTGCAGGTCTCTCTCTATCTGCAGTTTCTCTCCCTTTAGCTCATTGATGCTGGACTTGAGCTGCTGAAGCTGCTCCGAGTGGTCAGACAGCTTCTGTCTCTTGTGGTCAAGGGTCCTGTTGACCGTGTCCCTGTGAGAAAAATCATGTAAGTAAATATACTTTTGAGTATACTCTATAATGAACATGTAGAATTAGTAGTCTTACGTTTTTCAAAAGCATTTGACATTAGAAAAGACTCAACTCAGAAATTGTGGCACTAAATACCCACTCGTTGGTAGCCAACAAGCACCATTGCCAGAAAGCAGACAATATTTTAATAAAATACATATAAAAAGATTCCACGGTTTCATATAATTACGTCACAGTAATAGGTTTTGCATTTGTGCCATGATGAGAAGATTTTATCTATTGGGTTCCATTTTTCTATNTTATTCGCACTCATCCTTTCACACTGATAATCCAGAAAGATTCAAATAAACCATGAAACTCAGGATGACAAATATGTGCAACTTTATTTAATTTTTAATAAAAAACGAAAGTGGTATATTGTAACATGTTGGGATGAGACTGCCATTTAGTGAAAAACTGAAGTCCAGGGGGCAGCCTAGGCCAATGATATTTTTGACTCCCAAAAAGTCAGAAATCTGTCAATAGTTGGAATAATCACACCCATGAATGTGTCTGTTAAACCTGTGACCTTTCCCTGACTGTTGCCCTAAGAATGAAGAGAGACATAATAAAATTTAAACAAACAAAAAATAATTTACAGAGAAAAAAAAAAAACAATGATACCTGCTGTGTTGTCAAATCTTCCTTTATTTTATTGATTTTTCCATTCAGACTTTCCTGTTCTTGCTGTGCACTTCCCAATTTTTCCTGTATGTCTGCCAGCTTGATTTCTGTGTCATTTAGTGCCCTATCCAACCCCTCCTGCGTGTACCTGATTGTTTAAAACATACCCAAATTTAATTATGCTACATGCCAACTTTAATTTGAAGCAATAAGACACCTGATATACATTTCATCATTACTGAAAATTCAGTATCTATAATACTGTATCTATAATTAAATAAAAAGAGTGTTGAGGAGTTATACTGTATAAAGCTGCTTCTTGGCTTTAAATCAATATAAGTACGTTGAACAATGTTACTTCTTTTTCTGCATTAAAAAACATATGTATGTATCCAAACCATTTATCTTGTATAACTTAGAAATTATAACAAAAATTGTCACTTTTTCATCTTGAAGATGACATGTTACTGTGGCCAAAGTATAACAAAAAAGGATGCCAACAATGCATAGAATTTACCAATTCTTTTCATACCTCACAATTTCTTTCTGTATTGATTTCACATTTCCTCTTTTATCTTCTAATGTTCTTGCCTGAAAAAAAATGTAAAAAAAGTTCGTATACAGGTCTTACAAAATGAAGATAGTTATTTAGGGGAGTGACGAAAGGAATCCATATACAACTTCACATGAGAAGGTGGTATTTGTCAAATCTTATCTCTTCTATAATCTTTATATTTCTGTAGAATACAGAAAACTCGCCATTTACTGCTCACCTCTCTTGATTTTTCTTCATTTTTCTCTTCCTTTTGTCTGGTTATCTCATCTTTGTCTTTACGATATTTTTCCAACTGGCTCTATAATAAAACAGTTTAGGCACAAAAATCAAGTGTTAATTCAGAAAAAAAGACTAAAGTGCATTTTATTTTGTCATATTAAGTGTGCTCTTCAGCAGATACTTTACAAACACACATACTCTATATTCAATGTTGTTTTTGTTTATACCATGGAAGTTCTCTACTTATATGTTTATACTCACCATCAGTGGCTGAAGTTGGTTCCTTGCTTCCTAAAAAAGGTAATGAGAAATGGCTACATGCAGTGGTACAGATTTACTGTGTAAATTAACTATTCCCAGATCAAACAAGTTATAAGCAACTAATAGGGGTATGACAGGCCATTCTTAACATTAGACCCTTATCATCACTAGTACTTTCCACTATTTCTCCACCAATATTTCATGCCACATTCAATACTTATAATTTTTTTAATCTGTCCTAGACACGGATATCCACCCACCAACCCTCCTCCTCTAACTCAATTTCTCTATCAACTGCTTGACTGACATTACGAAACTCCACCCACCCTTAACTCAATTCATCTATCAGCTGCTTGATTGACATTTCATAACTCTGCCCTCCCTTACCTTGATTTCTCTTTCAGCTGCTTGATTGGCACTTGCAAGCTCTGCCCTCCTCTCCTCCAGCTTTAACCTCTGTTGCAGGTCTCTCTCTATCTGCAGCTTCTCTCCCTTGAGCTCATTGATGCTAGACTTGAGCTGCTGAAGCTGCTCTGAGTGGTCAGACAGCTTTTGTCTCTTGTGGTCAAGGGTCCTGTTGACCGTGTCCCTGTGAGAAAAATTATTTAAGTAAATCTACTGATGAGTATACTTTATACCGAACATGCAGAATTATGTTGTTTGTTTAAAATGTAATAGTCTTATGTTTTTCAAAAGCATTTGACATTAGAACAACTCAAATTGTGGCACTAAATACCCACTTGATGGTAGCAAACAAGCACCATTGCCAGAAAGCAGACAATATTTTAATAAAATACATAAAAAAATATTCCACTGTTTCATATAATTACGTCACAGTAATAGGTCTTGCATCTGTGCCATGATGAGAAGATTTTATCTATTGGGTTCCATTTTTCAATTTAATATTTATAAATCTGTTATGAATATGTTCCTTACAGCTGCATTTGTGCTTCCTCTTTCTCATTATTGACTTGCTGCATGGTTCGACTAGAATCTGAAATGGAATAACAAAGTATTTACCACCTCAATGAAAAAACTTCTTGATATCACTTAATGGGCTTTTACTATATCTGTTTAAGTTGAGGAAACAAACATTTGTCCAAATCTTTAGAAAATAAACATCAAAGCATTTACCACAAATTCACCACCTCCATGAAAAAACTTGCTCATATCACATAATGGGCTAACACATCTTTAAAATATAATTAAATAAATTTTTAGGGGGAGGGGGGGGGTTCATAATATGTTTACATTAACCAAAGGAGAAAACTTTCTAAATAGTCACTGACCAGTTGTTCCCATTTTGGCCATCTGCTGGCCAATCTTCCTCTCCAGCTCCTGCAGCTCTTTCTGACACCTGTCCAGCTGAACGATCTCTGGCAAGATGGACTTGGCGGTCACTTCATCTGATTCCTTCTCCTGGAGATCTTCATCTTTCTGATAATGAAGAGGACGCAATGTAGACAGATTTATACCTTTAAAATATGCCAAAATAACCAATGACTAAGCAAGTCATCATTAAATAATTAAAAAGCATCATACTGTCTTTTTCAGTTGATAATTTTTCAGTTATAAATTTTATGACTGTTAATGGTATATTGTACCTAAAATATTTCAAGGATATTTCAATAAAATCTGCTTTGATTATAAAACATATACCTGTTACTTGATGTCTTTTTCTCACTCACATAAAATAAAATATTGTATTTATATTGTGGTATGCAGTATTTCCTTGCTAACATAAAACATTGCAAACGGTCACCATATTATGTATACCAAAAGCCAATACAAGTGGTTTCTGAGATCTATGGCTGATGTAAGCTTTACACAATCAATTTCTAACTTATAAATGTCTCTACTATTCACCTCTGCAATGGATTGCTGCAGTTTATCTATCTGTTCTGACAGGACTCTCTGCTTGTTTTTCAAGTCTGGGATGACTTGGTCTGCCAGTTTAGAAATCTAGAGAAATAAATATAAAATCAATTAACTCCTCTGTAGCAAAAGTAATTCAGGTTATGATTACCGAATTTACTCAGATCAAAGCACATTAATACAATGAAACTCTACCTGAAAATTCCACCTTAAGATGCCACAAACAACCATTTTTTTCAGCTAAGATGAACTTATAGTTTGATTACTGGCTTATAACTTACCAAAATGCCAAAATAAAATGGATTAAAATGTTGTAAGTTTGGTCACTGAGTTTCAGCTACCAACTACTTCTGAAACATCCACAAAACCTCTAAGACAAATACATACTTGTAAATAAAATAATTTTCCTACTATGTTGAACAAAACTAAAACACTTTTTGATTTAGTCTATAAAAATAATTTCACAAATGGATAATAATTTAGTTAAGACACAGCAATGAGGTCACAGCATTTGCATTATGCATAACTATACTACTACTACTAATAATAATAATAAAGCAAGAAAAGAATCATATTTAAACACTCACAGTGGTCCTCACTGGTTTCAGTTGTAACATGCTATCATAGCGCTGCTGATGTTGACCAAGTTCTTCCTCAGTTTTCTCCACTTTGGATGGCACAAGGCTAAGCAGATTTTGAAGCTAAAAATATAAGATCACTCAAAAAATTAAGATCTTCAGAGTGTAAGATAGCATTAGACAAATCAATTGTTTTACTGTGCAATGATGTATCTTTGAGCAGACTGACAGCTAGTACAAAATCAAATTTAGACATTATATTGCAATCATATGCAAGTTAATTTTTACATATAATATAGCTCTGCACCAATTCAGTGCCCAAATGATCTTTAACCATTTTGATAAATAAATGCTAAATTTGATTAAAAAAAAAAAGAACCTCAGCTAAAAATATCAAACCAAAAATATCAACTTGAAACCAAATTTATTGTGGTGTGAATTCAAACCCCAGCCCACAACAGAGGCACCCTAAAACTCTGCACCAGAGGTTTCCCCAGGATTTGGGGTACCGGGAGTCCAAAAAGTGAATCTGTAATTTGGATTCCTTGTAAATTGATGACCTTGCTCCCTACCTCTTCTATTAACTCATCCACCTCCTGCTGCTCATCAAAGCCTCTGTGACACAGGGGACACTGGGGGTCATTGCGTCTCAGCTTGTTGATGAACTTGTTGAAGAAATGGCTGGAGCCAATAAGAGCTCCTTTCTCACTGAAATACATGGGAGTAGACATGTGAAGTAAATGAGAAAACTTTGATAAAATGGCAAAACGGTAGACCACACATTTTTTCCTCGTTGGCAAAATGGTAGACCATTCATTTATTCCTGTGAATAATCATATTTCCTTTAAGATATACAACACCAGTGTTAAATATGTGTGAAGTTGACAGCAGCATAATAAGATAGATTATAAGATGACAAATAAAAAGAAAAAAAGCTGAAAATATTTTAGTGTTGCATTCTACTTAGATAAAAAGATCATTTTTTCACATCTAAGAGTGGCATTAAAAAACTCACTCCTGAAGGTCAGAAATCCTTGACTGCAGATTCGACAGACCTTCATCGAAATTTTGACTTCCACCAATCTCAAACACTTTCTCTTCATGCCCTGTGAACAATAAATTAGTATGATAAGCAGAATTGCCTATGTAGCCATATCAAATGAACCAGAACTCTAAGTAAATGGCGTGAAACCAATTTACAGCTACAAAAAGTCACCTGGCCTACTTACATATAGAGCAAAGATGATGAATGAATTGTTTTTTTAATTGCTAGAGACCTAAAGAGCAAAATAAATATCAGAAAATATTAAAATTTGTTTCAACGATTCAGATAATGCTCTGATAGTATGTAGAGAGTCTGTTAGTGTTAACATTTTAATGTTTGTTACTCCTTTTTAATACAAATTTCCATTTATGCTGTACATGATCACCATTTCAGTGGTGCATTCACTTAAAATGAAGTTATTTTATAACCAAGTCATTACCTCTTAGTTCATCTTCTTTTTCTTTGACTTGGGTTCTGTAAAAGAGGACTTACATTTACAGCAAATACAATGATTCAATAGGACAGATAAAATAATATTTAAGTTTTTTATTCTTCAAATACTGTCTTATAAGGGGACAACATTATCAACACTCAGCAATGTATAAGCTATGGCATTTAAACATCAAAACAATAAATGGTCTAATAAAAAATACCAGAAATAATAATAAAATGAAAAAGAAAAAGAAAGAAAGAAAAAGAGCATATATATAATTTTTTTCTTCATTTTTAAAGATAATTTGTCTGTGTTCAAGACAACACTTTATCAAAAGCTAAACAAACAGGAACTTACACTATCATCTTCCTTGTAGCTTCCTTGGACGCCATCTCCTTGTTTTCCTTATCCAGGACTTTCCTCATGCGACTCACTTCATTGGACTGCTTGCTGCAAATAAGAAACCAATTAACTGCATAAATGCTTAGTATTCACGACCTGGATTTCTTTTTTTAGTCTTGAAACATACTTAGTCCTCTCCTTTAATACAAAAAAAAAGGAGAATCAGTATCCTAGTTTTGCATCTGAATAAAATATTGAAACATTTTGCCTTGTGTAAAGAAATGAATTTTTCAGCAACTTATAAGACATTTTGCACCTTTTAATACAGAAAAAGAAAGGCAAACTTCCTTTCAGACCTTCATTAAATGTATCAGCTTTAAATCCATAGCAGCCTTTGGTGTGACCAAATTTCAACTAAAATCCATTTTGCAAAATAGATCTCTTATACATGTTAAGTGTTTGCCGAAAAAGTAATGTGTTAGATGTGACTAGTAAGCACTACTAACGCAATGAAGTGTTCCACTGTTCCTTTCACATTGGTTGCAGGTACATGACCCAGTAAATGTATCAGTGCATCTTCATGCTTGGACTTCCTGAAAATAATAATATGAAATCATGTTCATCATATTTATTCCAATTATTTCATAAATTTAACATTGAAAATACACATCAAATGACTTTCATGCTATTTGAATTTCATGAGATATTAGAAATGGCATTCACATAATGAAAATAGTTTTTAAAAATTAACAAACAAGCACAATTAATACCTCATTCCAAACAAATTTGGTAATTCCTTTAGTTCATTTTGTGGGAGTGCTGGTACACTAATTATTCCTTACCTTTTAAAAGAACCCCCCCTTCTGCTACTCTTTGTTAATATCACTGTTATTTATTTTGCACACTTTAAAAACATTTGAAAACTTACAGCTTCTTTATCAAGTCTTCTTTCTGGACCTTCTCCTTCCTCAACATGTCTAGCTGAGTCTGTGCACTGGACTGTAAGTGCATGCGGCTCATCTCTGCACTTTTATAGCAAAACAAAGAGTAAAAGTTAATGTTTTAACCATGTGGTTTCATTTTTTCTATAAATATCTAAAAAAAAACTTGAAAAAAGCATTGACTTGTTCAAATATCTAGCAGAAAAAAACAAAACTGTGTGTGTGTGTTTGTTGGTAGTTACTAAGTTATTGTCCGGTGTTCAGTACCTTAGGTTACTGTGCTGCTTGTCCAGTTCTGTTTTCTTTCTTTGTAGATCAGATATTTCTGACCTCAGTTCATCTAAATTCACACCATTTTCAGCCTCTGACAACTCATGTTCCTGAAAATAAATATAATTTTCAAAGTAACATTTGTATTCAATCGATTTCATTTGTAAACAGACATAATACCCATCATCCTGTTCACAGTGGTGGATTTAAATAGCAGAAATATTTATAAATTAATGCTCTGACCTGTATTTGAAAAGAGTGTGCCTGTATTTAAGACTATTTATAATTCTTTGTTCTGGTCTTATTGTCCAAATACTTACTGTTCTTTTCAGGTCAGTATCAATCCCCTCTAGTTTCCCAGCAGAGGCATCTACCCTGCTAAGTTCTTGCCTGATGGAACGGATTTCAGTTTCATTCTTTCTCTGAAAATGTGACACAAAATTCCTTAAATCATCACTTACAACCTAACCACTTACTACCTTAATGCAGTAAAATGTAACTTATGAAAATTTTAGAAGAAATAACTTGCGTTATGTAAAAGGTATGGCATTTAATGAAGAAAATTTCAGTGCTGTTTTAAGTATACATGTATGTCTCCATACATGTAAACTGAAAAAGTATAAAAATGCATATATTGTATTAATCTACAAATGTCCTTTAACTAACATCTGGTGAACAGTTACAACAGGAACAACATACTATCAAATCATTCTTCATTCGCTCACTCTGCTCCATTTTTGTTTTAGAATCTCTGAGTTCATCAAGTTTCTGCTGTATCTGCATCTCTCGCTCTTCAAACTGAGCCTAGGAATCAAACAAGTGGCATTGGTTTACATAAACATTTCAACAACTAGAGTTGCTATTCTTAATTACCTACCACATGGCCCAGACATGCTGAAACTGTCGGTCTGATCTGGACCAGATTGTCTGGACCAGTAAAAAATTGGACTTGGTCGGTCTAAAGGACTGACAAGTCTTTTAAGTACCGCAATTTTGAATTTACAGTCATCATTCGACATACTTCACTAATAAAATTATATAAAATCCAAAGCTTTTTTTCCCTCCGTTTCAAACCTATCACATTCACAACCAAAGTAAGCTACCCTAAGTGTACTGGTAGTATCTGTCTCAAACAAATAGGGTGATTTTCGGTCAGACAAAAATCCATTTGGTCCGGCAAATTTTTCATTTATGCCGGTCCAAATGTCTGGCCAATCTGAAAATTTTTCAGCATGTCTGATGGCCCCTATAACTATATACTTAAATCAAAAATAAGGTTCTTGGCTTTTTAAAGCTTACTATAATCATTGTCTTGTAATTGCTATATATGCACATTATACGTCTAAGGCCAGAGTCTCTGCAAAATATTTTAGTACAAAAAGAAAAAAACAGAAATGGGTTAACTCTAAATAATATGAAATAGGATTGGTAGTAGTGAAAGTTAATGTCAGTACTGGTGAAGTATTCACTTGAAAAAACAGGGAGCAAGTTTTAATTCATATAATGTAATATAACTTGTATAATTACTTTGATTTCCCTTGCTTCAGCCATATACTCTTGGTACTTTTCTGACATCAACTCTTGAAATCTTGCCAATTTTTCCTCAGTTATGGACCCAGCAGAGAACCCTACAACAATAAAATCAAAATGGTTACCTTAACTTAGCTTTTAATATTATTTAAACAAACAAAAAAATATCATCTAGTCAAAATAAAAAGCTGTATCAGTTACTTCATATATTTCACCCATCAACTCTCCCAAATATTTCATGTCAAAAATATACTAACCTTCAAATCCATAAACATCTGCAATTTTTCTTATCAAAGCATTCCTTTGTCTGATGTTGTCTTCTTGGCGCTAGTAAGAAACAAACATAAGGTAATCCTCAATAAATATTTAAAAATTTTTAAAATATGAAAACAGAATACACAGCAATGAGAAGCTGAGTTGTTACGACAATGTTATTTTTATTTTATTATTATTATTTTTTTTTGCTAGTGTCAAATTTACTATAAGTGAAGAAAATGACAAACTACTTTATTTTGTACCAATATACAATATTAAATTTCCAATATCAAAAGATTGCATCTTTGGGCTGGGTACTATTTATCTGAGCTGGTATCATTCTGAGATCGAACAATTAAAGCAGCCAGTAAACTGGAAATCATTACCTCAGCAGCCTGTGCCAGTCTTCCCTGCTCCACCAATAAAGAAGACTTCTGCTGAGATTTCTTCTCTATTTCCTTGGCACTGTACAACAATTGAGCTTCAATCTGGAAAAGAATTAAACTTTAAGTCTTAATAAACAAGTAGATTAATAAAACAATTATTTTGTCTTAAAGGTCTGCCTTACACATTCACAGGTATTCAAATTTTTATTTGACTTGTTATGTAAAATACCATATCTTGCCATAAATAAATACCATATCTTGCCATAAATAACTTGAATAATGAATGTTGCTAATGCCCTATCCATGCATTTTAAAAAAGCATGTTATGGCCAACAGATATTTTAAAATAACTTAAACCCAGGTGGTTCTACCATATATTTCAAAGTCAGTCTACCTTTTTCAGTTCATCCTGCTTTCTCTTAACTTTGGTGGAGAATTCAGATAATTCTCTCCTCAATGCCTCAGTGGTACCAGTAAATTCATTCTCTATACTCTCCCTTAGCTCCTTGTAGCTTTTCTCCATCTGGTGCTTCTCACTGGCAAGTTTTTCTAAAGAAAATAAATACAATTTTATTAGTAATTGCACTCTAAAATGTGTTACTTAGGTCCTGTGTCACCAAAAAATCTACAGCTGAAAAATCAGTCTGAATAAATTTAAGCTCAGTAATTTTTTTCAAAAAAGGCCAATCATAAAATGCTCATGCTGTTCAACTACTAGTGCAAAATAGACTTAACTTTGTCTGAGATAATTTGGAGTACTTCTACATTTTCATTTTCTCATCTCTTGGAATAGTTAACTTATCATAAAACAGACAACAGTTAACCTACCAACTTTTGTATTCAGTTTATAAATATCCGCACTCTTTGAGCTGATGTGGTCTAAACGCTCCTGAAATTTTTGCAAAATAAGTTGAAATTGTACACTATTTACATCATTTGTACAACGAAGGGCAACTTATTAAGTGTAAACCCCCTTTCTGTCATTGCCTCATTTTGCACCAAGAGATGTTTGCAGTTTCAGTTCCAGTGTAATCTTTTACTGACTTGAATATTTGACTGTATTTTACATATACAACACAACAAAGATTTAAGAGAAGAATAAATTGGCTCCTGCTGTCATACAAATCTTTATCCAGTTGATAAACATAATCTATTTTTTCTTGGCTAAAAATCAATATGGTTTATCTTGGGTAAAAGAAATAATAAAAATGTGCTAAAAAATAGCTGATTCACCACTTTATTAATATAATTCATGTTTTATCTTGGCCAAAAGAAATAATCAAAATGTTCTAAAACATAGCTGCTTCACCACTTTATTAATATATATTTTTAATTTTTTAGTATATTGGATTGAACTGAATTAATGCTAGAGTCCAGCACAGCATACCTCAATTGGCTTTAACTTCTCTCTAATTTTGACCACAGATTCTTTGGAAGCTTCAAATCTAGCCAGGGTATCAGTCAGGTTAAGTTGAATCTGGAAACAAAAATTGAATATTTCAATTTAGTTTCAGATACTAGTTACCACACAGATTACTTGATCTTTACTATTTTAACTTTTTCAAAATCATAACAGCTTCACATTTTGACAGGTATATGCTGCATTTTTAACAAAAAAAAAAAAAATAAATAAAATAATAATAAAAAATAAATAAAAAATAAAAATACTTCTGATTTTTGCCTAATTAAAGCATTATCTTTGTTCTTTTCAAATAATTTCTGAAGGAAATCACAAGTCTTAATTCACATTAGTCAGAAACATGGCACTGTTCATTCCCTCCTTGTCTATCATTCAAGTGAAATTTGCCCAGTGTATTGAAGCTTTACTTAAATGCTTTTGACTTTTTTTTTTTTACCTCTGCAGCCTTTTCCTTGTTCTGTTTTAAGAACTTGATTTCAGTTTGGTACTGTTTTATGGTAACCACCTAGAAAGGAGACATTTTATGAAAATAAGTTAGACTGATAGCAAATTCAAACAAAAGCATATTCACTACAATTGTGTCAATAATGCTTATATATGATGCAATATCATTCTCACAACTTGTTATTAAAAAATTGGACTAATCTCAGATGTAGTCTCAAGTTGTCAATGATGATGACCCAGAGAAGTTATACTTGTCTACATATCTCAATAAAGACAAGCAGCTTAAAAACATTTACAATATACTAAAAAATATTACCTGCTCTTTCTTAAACTTCTGTATTGTGTCTAAGGCCTTCACATATCTGGTGGAGGCAAAGATGTCATCAAACTTTTGTTTTAAGGCCTTACCTTCACTAAGTGGCCTTGAAAAGTAAAAGTAAACATTGTGTTAAGAACCTGATATCGTCATTAAATAAGATCTGATTCAGCAGTTTAAATAATTTAAGCCAGTAGAAACAGTTCTTATACTACAAGTCACGGCAATATTAATCACATGCAAGGAATCCTTGGACTCTGAGGGTGTTATAAGAGAATCAAAAACCTGGTTGTGTTGCCTGAATTTTTTTCACAACTTTATTCATATATTTATCCCCGTCACATCTCACCAATTGGAGTCTTCTTGGTGACAGAAGATGACATTTTGTAGAATAGGTTTGGACACCCCTAGAGATTGGACCATCTAGCGAAGGAAATAAATCATATCTTATTAAACAAATATCTAAAACAGAAAAGATAAATGCTCAATATTCTTAGTTTTGGAGCTAAACTAGTATTTTTTAATGTATTGTGTATATATAAAAATATATAATATTGTGTATATATAAAAATATATAATATAATTTTTAAGTAAATCAATGATAAAATGGTGAAAGCATTGCGATCAAATTTTTAGGTGCGATCTTGGCAGCCCATTTATATAATAACTTTTAAAACTAAGACCTTTACCACGACAAAAATAATGACTGTATCCATATTCAGGTATATTCATAAAACTACTGCTATAATTAAAACATAAATATATTTTTTGAATTAAATATCATTCAACTGTCTATGTATGACCACTCACAAAAAGTTGGATCTCATCAGAAAGAAGAAAATTTAGCATCTTGTCTCACCTCTCTGTCTATTTCTACACACTTAGAACTTGTGCTAACTTTAGAACCATCAGCACGCTTTCTTGTAATTAATCCCTCCAGTTGGCGAAATGTAATCTGCTTCGCCTAAAAAAAGAAGGCACAAAGAATGTTGAATATAAGGTGTTCTCAAGAAAAAGTCAAAATAGTACATCACAATTGAAAATAGGAATTGGCAGCTCGAATGAACACACTGCCAGGCCAAACAAAAATTTTCAAAACTTTTTTAATGCAGATGAAATTGTTACAGAATCGAACAGATCCATGAAGACCAGCATAAACTGTAAAGCCAGCTGATTTTGTTTATTACAAGTGTTATTTGTATTACAAAACCAGCTATATGATACCAAACCATATCATACCATACCTTAACATACCAGCCATACCATACCAAACCATATCATACCACATCATACCATACCGTAACATACCAGCTGTACCAAATGAAACCATATCATACCTAATTAAACCATAACATGACATACCTTCTGCTGAGCTTCTATTGTTCTCTGGACGATACATATTTTGCCTTGAACATCTTGGAACTGTAGCCGCACTTGACCTCTGACTAGTGGCTCATTGGCAATCTGAAAGAAGAAGACCATGGTTAGAAGTGTGAAAAATACAATTTAAAGGCATCCTAAATAAAGCAGTATATCACAAGTCATAGGGTGGCACTTCCCTGCACTTGCATACAATTTTTTATTTATAATAATAATAATAATAATAATAATAATAATAATAATAATAATAATAATAATGTAGTTATCAATGACTGGCTGTCACTTACATTGTTAAGTCATTCTATAGATTTCAGACGAAAACGCTGATATCAAGAACTTTTATTTTAGACATTATTTAGGTCTGACTTGGGAAAGATGAGTAGCTTTGAAGGATATGTAGATTTTGGGACAATTTCAAAAACGGATGGTATACGAGAATCTTGAATGTAGAAAGTTATTGTGGCATATTTTGGAAGCACACACATATCTTAAACTATAAATAAAGATGGCATTAACTGACAAAATTTGTGATAACGCACTTGCTTTAAGGGAGGGTAGTGGTTAAATACAAACAAACAATACCTTTGGGTCATGCACAAAAGCCTGTCCTCTGCCAGCCCCAGGTGGGAATTCTCCCGTTGTTGAGTACTTCAAACTCTCTATGATGGTCTGAAAATAGATCATGATACAGTACATGTAGACTGTATGTAAATATACATGTGTATATAAATATATATATATGACCTTGACTGCTGATATACACCTGTACATCTTTAAGAGCAGAATGGAAGTATTTCATAAATCTTCAGCATTTTACTAAGATACATGTGCATTAAAATGCGTCACTGTGAGTAGAGACAACATCAGCAGCAACTCAACAGACTTGCCAGCAAAGTACAGTAGACTGCAATGCATGTGTCTATGGAAAATGATGAGCTTACTGTTTTTCCTGTGCCATTGTCTCCTAATATGAGAGTGACTGGAGTGAAGAAATGTATGACTTGGCGGTCACTATCATCAGGGCCGAAGCTACGGATGCCCTGTATGCTCATCTTTGTGATGCTCGCCATGATGAAACTTTGAAGATCGGTCTTTTTCAAAATGTTAAGCCCATGAATTTACTGTGAATTTTGAGTGAGAAATTTCCACTGAAAAGACAATTCCTGAATTCAATCAACCAATAATGTCAGTATGTGGAACGTACATAACTGTATAGTGCAATCATTAAATTTCAATGTAAGCAACCTTTAGAATGACAATTACATTCATATTATGCACTAACTAGTAGCTTAGCCGGAGAGAAGAGAGAGAGAGAGAGAATATTCCCTGGGGACGTAAAGAACAATATTGCTAGTTTACAATTACATCATCTGGCTGATAAATGGCTACATTTGAACCCTCACCTATGACAAATATCATTGCATTTGTTCCCGCTTTCACTTCGGTCTGCTACACAGCCTCGAGATCAAAACGAGGATCAACCAAGATAGGCTAGTCCCCTTAGGATAAGCTGTCCAAAGCTCATGAGCATCTGCGTTCTCTCGGTGCTAACTGCATGATTGAGCAAGTCTTTTGCGTTTATTTTAAATTCATGTAACGTTACTTCTGCAGATCTGTCATTACCAATTTGTAAACCAGAACAATAGAGGCAAATGACGCAAGAAAATAAGATTTGATTAAATCTCCCATTTTTGTGAGGTTAGCGTAGCAAGCAAACCTCTTAATTTGGATTGAGGAACAATTTCATCAGGGAGTCATTTATCCTGTCATCTCATATTGATGAAACTTTAATAAGTAGCATAGCGATTTTTTCCCAAACTACGGACAAGCTTTCTTACATTAACTGAAAATCCAAATAGCCTATTGTAGGCCTAACGCTTAATTATTATTAAAAAATAAATAAATAAAAGGTCCCAATGTAGGCCTACTATAGGGCCTCTGTCTCCCTAATTGGTAATAAAAGTACATCATATATTTTGAGTTCATTTAAACCAAAGAATGTCTGTTGCGTTCGATGGGATCTTTTCCTTAGTTAAGGGCATTCCAAACATGTAGGCAGTATGGGTAGACAAGGGATAGCCTGATTTGTTGAGTACCCGATCAATTTCTGAAAAACCACATTTTCTGTAGAGTGCTATGGCCCCTCTTTGAAATTCTGAAGTATACAAAACGATGTGTTTGTAATTGTTATTTTTGCAAAAATTCACAGCTGTATGTATTAACGCCTTGCCTATTCCAAGCCTTCTGTATGCCGGCTCCACTGCCATTCTTTTAAGTTCCGCCATATCTTCGGTTTTTCGGGCAATTCCTATAGAACCGATGATTTTGTCTTCGTATTCTGCGACCCAAAATCGACAACCCTGTCTGTCATAATACGCATACATATTATTCCTTTCAAGGATATCACTCGACTTAAGCTTATGGAAACCAATATGCATATTAGCTATACATACTCCAACCCAAAGTCCGACTGCGGCAATGAGAGAAATTAAATAATCATTGAGTAGATAAAGTATGCTTAGAAACATGCCCAATGCTATAGTGCTTGCAGGTAGTTGGGTCATGCAGCGCTGCATTAAACCTCTTCGAATAGCATTGAACAAATTGTTCATAGCCAACTTCCAAACAAGTCGACACTCGTCTGAATTCGAGCTGATTCGGCGAATCCGCAATTTTCCCATCTGAAACTCCGAAGGCTTCATACCGGTACGTAGTTATCTGAGTCACTCAACAGACTCACCGAGCACGCTACCAGAACATCGAAGCGAAGGTGGAAAAGACTATACATGTACATGTGCAGTACCTCTTCGGCTGCTCAAATAAGAGGAACTTTGACTTCTGCTTAATCGCTTACTCTAGCTATTTATTGCATGGTTGCCGCTCATGCGGTTTGTTTTTGTCAATCTAGATTGTAGATAACTGAACTGCAGCAGTCTGCTACCATGCAGTACCACGTAGAATCACTGACCTAGTGGCCCTCACCTGATGGGGAAAAGCTAGGCTTCTAATAGAAAGCTCGATCTTTCCTTACAAGAATCATAGGACCAGATAATTTTTACTGTGCACGAAGAATGCCCACAATAAAATCGGAAAACGAAACATTCGCCACGAACACGTNTAAAAAATAAATAATAATAAAAAATAAATAAATAAATAAATAAATAAATAAATAAAAAATAAAAATACTTCTGATTTTTGCCTAATTAAAGCATTATCTTTGTTCTTTTCAAATAATTTCTGAAGGAAATCACAAGAGTCTTAATTCACATTAGTCAGAAACATGGCAATGTTCATTCCCTCCTTGTCTATCATTCCAGTGAAATTTGCCCAGTGTAGAGTATTGAAGCTTTACTTAAATGCTTTTGACCTTTTTTTTTTTTTACCTCTGCAGCCTTTTCCTTGTTCTGTTTTAAGAACTTGATTTCAGTTTGGTACTGTTTTATGGTAACCACCTAGAAAGGAGACATTTTATGAAAATAAGTTAGACTGATAGCAAGTTCAAACAAAAGCATATTCACTACAATTGTGTCAATAATGCTTATATATGATGCAATATCATTCTCACAACTTTTGTTATTAAAAAAATTGGACTAATCTCAGATGTAGTCTCAAGTTGTCAATTATGATGACCCAGAGAAGTTATACTTGTCTACATATCTAAATAAAGACAAGCAGCTTAAAAACATTTACAATATACTAAAAAAATTACCTGCTCCTTCTTAAACTTCTGTATTGTGTCCAAGGCCTTCACATATCTGGTGGAGGCAAAGATGTCATCAAACTTTTGCTTTAAGGCTTTACCTTCACTAAGTGGCCTTAAAAAGTTAAAGTAAAGATTGTGTTAAGAACCTGATATCATCATTAAATAAAATCTGATTCAGCAGTTTTAATAATTTAAGCCAGTAGGAACAGACACTACAAGTCACGGCAATATTAATCACATACAAAGAATCCTTGGACTCTGAGGGAGTTATAAGAAAATCAAAAACCTGGTTAGGTTGCGTGAATTTTTTTAGAACTTTATTCATATATTTATCCCTGTCACATCTCACCAATTGGAGTCTTCTTGGTGACAGAAGATGACATTCTGCAGAATAGGCTTGGACACCCCTAGGGACTGGACCATCTTGAAAAGGAAATAAATCATATCTTATTCAACAAATATTTAAAACAAAAAAAGATAAATTATTAATATTCTTATGTTCTAGTTATGGAGTTAAGCTAGTATTTTTTTACTGTATATATAAAAATATATATAATATAATTTTTAAGTGAATCAATGATAAAATGGTGAAAGCACTGTGATCAAATTTTTAGGTGTGAGCTTGGCAGCCTACTTATGTAATAACTTGAATTAAAACTAAGACCTTTACCATAACAAAAATGATAACCTTCCATATTCAGGTACGCTCTGGATAAAACTACTAGTATAATTAAAGCATAAACATTGTATTTTTGAAATCAAATATCATTCAACTGTCTATGTATGACCATTCACAAAAAGTAGGATCTTATCACAAAGAAGAAAAAAAAAAATGTCTTGTCTCACCTCTCTGTCTATTTCTACACACTTAGAACTTGTGCTAACTTTAGAACCATCAGCACGCTTTCTCGTAATTAATCCCTCCAGCTGGCGAAATGTTATCTGCTTCGCCTAAAAAAAGGCACAAAGAATGTTCAATATAAGGTGTTATCATGAAAAGTCAAAATAGTTAACATCAAAATTGAAAATAGGAATTGGCAGCTCGAATGAAAACACTGCCAGGCCAAACAAAAATTTTCAAAACTTTTTTAATGCAGATGAAATTGTTACAGAATCGAACAAATCCATGAAGACCAGCATAAACTGTAAAGCCAGCTGATTTTGTTTATAACAAGTGTTATTTGTATTACAAAACCAGCCATACGATACCAAACCATATCATACCATACCTTAACCAGCCATACCATACCAAACCATATCATACCACATCATACCATACCGTAACATACCATACCATACCACAGGATGACATACCTTCTGCTGAGCTTCTATTGTTCTCTGGACGATACATATCTTGCCTTGAACATCCTGGAACTGGAGCCGCACTTGACCTCTGACTAGTGGCTCATTGGCAATCTGAAAGCAGAAGACAATGGTTAGAAGTGTGAAAAATACAATTTAAAGGTATCGTAAATAAAGCAGTATATCACAAGTCATAGGGTGTCACTTCCCTGCACTTGCATACAATTTTTATTTATAATAATAATAATAATAATAATAATAATAATAATAATAATAATAATAATGTAGTTATCAATGACTGGCTAGTCACTTACATTGTTAAGTCTTCCTATAGATTTCAGACGAAAACGCTGATATCAAGAACTTTTATTTTAGACATTATTTAGGTCTGACTTGGCAAAGATGAGTAGCTTTGAAGGATATGTAGATTTTGGGACGATTTCAAAAACGGATGGTAAATGAGAATCTTGAATGTAGAAAGTTATTGTGGCATATTTTGGAAGCACACACATATCTTAAACTATAAATAAAGATGGCATTAACTGACAAAATTTGTGATAACGCACTTGCTTTAAGGGAGGGTAGTGGTTAAATACTTGTAAACAAACAATACCTTTGGATCATGCACAAAAGCCTGTCCTCTGCCAGCCCCAGGTGGGAATTCACCAGTTGTTGAGTACTTCAAACTCTCTATGATGGTCTGAAAATAGATCATGATACATGTAGACTGTATGTAAATACATGTATATATGTGTATATAAATATTTATATGACCTTGACTGCTGATATACACGTGTACATCTTTAAGAGCAGAATGGAAGTATTTCATAAATCTTCAGCATTTTACTTAGATACATGTGCATTAAAATGGGGCCATAGCAATAGTCCGAAGGTTCAATAGTCTGAAGGTTCATTGGTCCGAATATTCACTATAGAACCTTCAGACCAATGAACCCTTGAATAAAAAATCGATGAAAATGTTACCACTTTTCGGACCAATGAACCTTCGGACCAATGAACCTTCGGACTATCGAGACGCCCCCATTAAAATGTGTCACTGTGATCCTAGTTCAATTAGACAGAAGAGACAATATCAGCAGCAACTCAACAGACTTGCCAGAAAAGTAGACTGCATGTGTCTATGGAAAATGATGAGCTTACTGTTTTTCCTGTGCCATTGTCTCCTAATATGAGAGTGACTGGAGTGAAGAAATGTATGACTTGGCGGTCACTATCATCAGGGCCAAAGCTACGGATGCCCTGTATGCTCATCTTTGTGATGCTTGCCATGATGAAACTTTGAAGATCGGTCTTTTTCAAAATGTTAAGCCCACGAATTTACTGTGAATTTTGAGTGAGAGATGTCCACTGAAAAGACAATTCCTGAATTCAATCAACCAATAATGTCAGCATGTGGAACGTACATAACTGTAGTGCAATCATTAAATTTCAATGTAAGCAACCTTTAGAATGACAATTACATTCATATTATGCACTAACTAGTAGCTTAGCTGGAGAGAAGAGAGAGAGAGAGAACATTCCCTGGGGACGTTAAGAACAATATTGCTAGTTTACAATTACATCATCTGGCTGATAAATGGCAACATTTGGACCCTCACCTATGACGAATATCATTGCATTTGTTCCCGCTTTCACTTCGGTCTGCTACACAGCCTCGAGATCAAAACGAGGATCAACCAAGATAGGCTGGTCCCTTTCGGATCAGCTGAAGCTCAGCATATGCGTTCTCTCGGTGCTAACTGCATGATTGAGCAAGTCTTTTGCGTTTATTTTAAATTCATGTGACGTTACTTCTGCAGATCTGTCATTACCAATTTGTAAACCAGAACAATAGAGGCAAATGATGCAAGAAAATAAGATTTGATTAAATCTCCCATTTTTGTGAGGTTGGCGTAGCAAGCAAACCTCTTAATTTGGATTGAGGATCAATTTCATCAGGGACTCATTTATCCTGTCATCTCATATTGATGAAACTTTAATAAGCAGCATAGCGATTTTTTTTTCTAAACTACGGACAAGCTTTCTTACAATAACTGAAAATTCAAATAGCCTTTTGTAGGCCTAATGCTTAATTATTATTAAAAAATAAATAAATAAAAGGTCCCAATGAAGGCCCACTATAGGGCCTCTGTCTCCTTAATTGGTAAAAAAAGTACATCATATATTTTGAGTTCATTTAAACCAAAGAATGTCTGCTGCATTTGATGGGATTTTTTCCTTAGTTAAGGGCATTCCAAACAGGTAGGCAGTATGGGTAGACAAGGGATAGCCCGATTTGTTGAGTACCCGATCAATTTCTGAAAAACCACATTTTCTGTAAAGTGCTATGGCCCCTCTTTGAAATTCTGATGTATACAGAACGATGTGTTTGTAATTGTTATTTTTGCAAAAATTCACCGCTGTATGTATTAACGCCTTGCCAACTCCAAGCCTTCTGTATGCCGGCTCCACTGCCATTCTTTTAAGTTCCGCCATATCTTCGGTTTTTCGGGCAATTCCTATAGAACCGATGATTTTGTCTTTGTATTCTGCGACCCAAAATCGACAACCCTGTCTGTCATAATACGCATACATATTATTCCTTTCAAGGATATCACTCGACTTAAGCTTATGGAAACCAATATGCATATTAGCTATACATACTCCAACCCAAAGTCCGACTGCGGCAATGAGAGAAATTAAATAATCATTGAGTAGATAAAGTACGCTTAGAAACATGCCCAATGCTAAAGTGCTTGCAGGTAGTTGGGTCATGCAGCGCTGCATTAAACCTCTTCGAATAGCATTGAGCAAATTGTTCATGGCCATCTTCCAAACAAGTCGACACTCTTCTGAATTCGAGCTGATTCGGCGAATCCGCAATTTTCCCATCTGAAACTCCGAAGGCTTCATACCGGTGCGTAGTTATCTGACGAGTCACTCAACAGACTCACCGAGCACGCTACCAGTCATCGAAGCGAAGGTGGAAAAGACTATACTTGTACCTCTTCGGCTGCTCAAATAAGAGGAACTTTGACTTCTGCTTAATGGCTTACTCTAGCTATTTATTGCATAGTTGCCGCTCATGCGGTTTGTTTTTGTCAATCTAGATTGTAGATAACTGAACTGCAGCAGTCTGCTACCATGCAGTACCACGTAGAATCACTGACCTAGTGGCCCTCACCTGATAGGGGAAAAGCTAGGCTTCTATAGAAAGCTCGATCTTTCCTTACAAGAATCATAGGGCCAGACAATTTTTACTGTGCACGAAGATAAATAGTAAGGGAATGCCCACAATAAAATCGGAAAACGATCAACATTCGCCAACATATAGATGATCGCGATGGTATTATGTCGAAATATCAAAATACCTGCCGAACCTTGCCGGAGCTATATTTCCAATAAAAGCGTCTGAAAGGGGGTCACGTGATCATTTGACCTATATCTGATAGATGTAAACAATGAATTTCCACTCGAAGCTTGCAGATTTTATAGAGGATTTAATTCCCACGCGTAGTTTCAATAAAAAAACACGTCAAAGGTTTTTTAATCGTTGTAAATATTGAGAGAAAGGTTAAAGAAGTTGGAGAAATATGTGTATTTATGTAATTTGCTAAATGATGACATGAATTCACGGCAAAAATAATATGTACATATGTAGGCCTACCTGTATATGTACCTGTATATGCTGTACAGCCCCTGTGTGCCGTACCACTTTTACTACAATCGCACAAGGTCACACTACTACACTATATATTGTGATCGCACGATCACCTAGCTCTATAGCTACAGTATGTTCTGTATTATTAGATTGAATTCAGTTTAATTCTCAGATGTATCAAAGTACATGTACATATAATCACTTGAAAATTAGTTGAATCCATATTTCATATAGACCAATAGGCTATATAATATAAATCCATGTGTAGGGTTTTACAAACTATCGGGTATATATCTTAGAGGCTGTCTAGCTGTTTATGTAGCTGCACGCTGCTCAAGAAAGTGTTTCAAATATATGTAAGTCCTTGCACAACATTATAGAATTATAAAGGGTTTTAATATTCAAGTATATCTTTAATTGCAGAGGTTTAATTTAAAAGAAGTCTTTTTATTGTTATTAATCACACCATTGTCCAGTAATAACAGCACATTAAAAGAAATTTCAGCCCACACTCAGCAAGGCCTTTATTTATATATTTTTTTAATGTTAAGACCTAAAACTTGCTAGGTTACTAGCTCACAATAAGTTACTGTGTCAACCCCCCCACTCCCCATCCCCAGCAGGCACACAACGTTAATTCAGTGTTAAAACTTTGTTGAAGTTATTTAGGCAGTGATAAACGTTGAGTCAACCTTGATTCGACGACCACAATTCAACGTTGGCATGTCAATATTGGTTCAACATTGAAGCAAGACTGAGTTTATAAACCAACATTATTTCAACGTTTATTCAACTTGCATTTTTCATAGTTGATGTTTTAGTAAAATTTCCACCTTGATTCAACATTGATTCAATGTTTCATTGCAACATTGATTTTCTGGTCAGGCTTAGGCCTGAACACTGATTCAACTTTGGGAATATAAATTTACATTTTGATTTTCCAAGAGATTACTGCTCCCTTTGCTTAAGTGTATGTATATTTGAATACAACATAAGCACAAAAACTTGAAATATTCTATTCTATTCTATGAGTGATGCTTTTTCATTAAGGAATATTTTTTCGGGTGTTTCTCACATATGCTTCACATTGTATCGCAAAATGCCCTTATAAGGACGTCACCATGTGTTACGAGACTCCATGCGCAAAAGAACTGCAGCCATCAACCGCGCAAGCGCGAATGTAACCGTGACGACACAGTCACGTATGCTAATTATCACTGTGTGACGTCAAAATCACGCATAGTGATAAATATCTCTCAAAAGCAACTAAACCGCATTGTCAGATATTTGGAATGCCGAAGGAAAGAGAAATTTATAGGGAGGAGCTACGGCTTTTAAGGCGTGAGCGGTAAGTTGAATTGAAAGTTTTTTCCTCATATATTGCTCTGACATCAGGAAAGTTTTAAATGACAAATGCTAACGGCCTACAAAAGCCTTAACCTAAGTAGCCTACGTAGGCACGTTCACAATGATTTCAAAGTTATGGAAATTAGATAGGGTATGGAGGTTGTAAACACTGTTATTTTCGCGTTTAAATTTCTAAAACACTTTTAGAAAACAATTAAAAGACGGATAAAGGACGTCAAGAAAAGGAAATGACATGTTTCTTCATATTGACTGCCCGGTGAAGCATTTTCCCTCATTTCTTTCTTTTTTCCTTGGGTGGGTTGGGGGGGGGGGGGGGGGTAAAGACCTGCGAAGTTCTGAGAAAGTCACGAAATCTGACACTAACTGCTTTCTTGGATGAAAACTTAGTTAATTTGGAAATATTCTCACGTTTTGAAACGATCTAAATATTCTGTTGAATACAGAATAGTTATAGATATGAAGTGTTCTTTCCACTGGCGAGAAATAAAACTTAAAATGTGAATTCATACACTGTATATTCAATTAGGCAACCGAAAAACATGCTCCGCAAGCCAAGCTACGCACCGGTTGAACAGGGCTTCAAATTGCCAAAGATCGTGGGCGCTGGCACCGAACAAAGGCTGCCGGGTATCCAGAAAGAGCTCAATGATACAAAGAAGCGCAAGCTTTTGCCAGACCTGGAGAACAACGCAGCAACCATTTCGTCCCAGGCCACCAAAAGACCAGCCAAGAGGCGCCAGGCCGAGAAGACTATCAGCGACTGCGTCGAGTTCTTCAAAGGAAAAACCTCACCAATGCCACCGGGTCGTTGTGATCCAACTAAAAAGCCCGCCAAAATGCAGTCTCCCAAAGGAGACAAAGCAGCACGAAGACACACCAACGGTACGTGAATGTTGTTTCCATACTGTTTCTTAAGAATGTCTTTTATACCAAGGGAATGCAACTGTTAACTACGGTCAACATTAATGTAAAAATAAGCCTCTTCGACTAATTACAGATCACATATTCTGTCTAAAATTGTCTGCTATATAAAAAGTGTAATAAACCTATGCAGGAAATAAGAGGGCAACAAATACAGAACATTTAGAAACGAGGGCATGCTGTTGGCTATTTCGATAATAAACTTAGGTTCTATATTGACTTTGTATAAAGTTAATTCCACTATTTTCAGCAGATAAGACAGAAATCTTCCTCAATCGCTGCCAAAAGCTCCTGGACACTGCCGATCAGGAATTCACCGCGGCAGAACATTTGATGGCCGAATTCAGCTTCAGGCCCGAGAGTCCTGCCAAGCCTCCTCTTCATGGACGGAAGACCGGGAAACCTATTACATACAAGAAGCAGAGAAAGCAGTAGAAATTCAGCTTAAACTACACAGAAAAACTAAAAATTCAAAGCAGCAAACTTTATCTCATTTTTGGACAATGGCACGGAAAATGAAATAGAATGATTCAGCTCTGAAACCGCAAGATATCACAATCTACAATAGCTCTAATTAATTACTCATGTTTCCTCACTTTTCCAAAGGATTTTATTTTAACTTTTATTTAATCCATCTGGCAGCATTTTATTATTCAACTTAAAATTAGACGTCTACTTATTACATAATTCGAGCATCTCTATTTTATTCTTTAAATTTTAAGTTAGATAAATCTGAGGATTATTTGCTTTGGAAAGTTAAGTTAATTTTAGGCCCCTTGGTGCAAATTTAAATTTTTCTTTTACTTCACATTGATGTTCACTTCACTTCGAGGGCAGATGATTCCAAGCCACTCTTACAGACAGCTTAACCATCACATTCTAATGCCATAGTTAGTCATATAGCTAGTTATTCACTCGGAAATTTTCTCCTAAACTAGATATTTGATTGTGTTATTAGTTAAAATGTTTATTTTTTGGTCGGTATATTTTGTTTTATTAATTTGGCACCTTATTTAGTTTAATGTTAACGGCATTGGGAACTTTTCTCCTAAACTAGCGACTTGATTGTGTTATTAGTTTAATTGTTAATTTTTGGTCGGTATATTTAGTTTTATCAATTTAGCACCTTATTTAGTATAAATTTTTCTGCACATACTATTTAGCTGGTTAGTCAAACAGTTAACAGTACCCACCGAAACTTTTTTGTAAAGTTGATTATTTTGAGCGGGTCACATCGGAGAGTTTTAGACGATCAAACGAAGAATAGGAATGTGGATGTGAACTTTAGTAATCTGTAAGAGGACATCGAGAAATCTTTCCCAGCAATGGCGTATTTTTACGCATAATTGCGTACTTCCCCAAAGTACTGGCCAGGAAGTGTTCCGAGTCCCTGCTTGTGGGGTAAGCAGGGGGGTTTCCCTCTGCTTGTACGTACTTAACCGTAAGTATGTGCTGTACGTTGTTGCTGTGAACACGTATTCCATATATACGCATTTACGTGTTTCGAAAGACGTACCGATGTTCTGCAAAAGTAGTTTTGTTGTTATTTTTCGTTCTTATCTTCTGCTGGTTGGCTTATTTCTTTAATTTGTGACACGTAAAATTTGATTGACCGAGCAGAAAGGTGGAAGTAACTGCTGCGACGCTGGAGATAATCAGTTTATAGTGGGGACATTTTGGAATCAAAACACCCGGTGCTATGCTAGTGATTAACTATTTGAATGCCTTATTAGTCTGTAATTCTGTCTAGGTATGAAAGTGAGTATCTAATATCAAAAGATAAAAACACTGTACAATAGTCATATCAATAGTCGATAAAACAAAGTGCAATCTTCATTACTGTCAGTGCAATAAATCTCTTCTTTCATTGGAATGAACGTCTTGTTTCTCCTTTTATTCATTGTGTTTGTATTAATTTCCAATTTCGATAATTCTGAATGTTTCAAACTTGAAGATTTGTTTTGGTTTACACGCCAACTAAAGAAAGATGATTTAAAAAACATTTCATTATTAATTTACCTGTATTAATTTCTCAAGAATAATAGGAATATCGAATGATTGTTTTCAGGCGAAGGATACTAAATACGCTTTCTCGTGCATTTCTGAAGTACTGAAAAATCTGACTCCATTAACGTTCTTTCTCGTAAATTGTCAAGGATGCATTTTTCTCCTTTTTTAGAGGCCGACAGCAACAAGGCTTTCATTGGGTTGTTATCCTTTAATGCGACTGGGAGAGAAAGAGGGAAAGTAATAACATAATTATTCTTTCTTTCTCCACACAGTGAAAGCAGCCCTTCTTATTGTTAATTGTTATCGGGTAACAATGACCCCTTTGCTAACTGGAAGTGTTCTGAAGTTTTGGCCACTAAACTTTAATCGACCCCAGCATTTTTTCTAACAAGAAAAAAAGGCACAAGTATCAGGTGCAAGTAATGTAATGCAGATACATACAGTATTACGATAGCTAAAAAAACTCGACAAGTTCTTGAAATTTCATAAAAATTAACGCGCATTAAAGATTTTTTGTAAAAAAAAATGTCTTGGGCCGTTAACGGGCCAACGACCTCTACTGGGATGAACAAGGTTAAATAACTTGGATCAACAGAAACCATTCTTTTACTTCACATAACAATTAATGTCACTCATTTCTTTGCTCTAAGTTATTCCCACGGGGACAGTGGCAGTTCACAGGCCTGTTAAATTATATAATTTGCATTCACTTTAATATCATCAATTAGCACACGGGAGAGTATTTAATACCCTAAAACTTTTTATCTTTATCGTGATTTCCCTTTTTTGATCTGTTGTGTGTAATTCAGTTTAGTTCTTTGGTCCTTTTCAGACAATAAATTCTCAAACATTTCAAAGATATTCCCTCGCCAGTGGTTTTAATACTTTTAACATGTAGGACTGCTACAAAATCAGAAGTAACAGTGGGCGTACGCAGTGCTAGCAACAGGTTTCATGGTTTATCACAGGGACTAAAAATTTTTCTTTGATATCAGAAACTTAATTTAATATTCGAAGAACACTTGTTTCCTTTGTCTTGCTATTATCTAGAAAGTTGTAGAAGCGTCTCTCACCCTTACACATGACGTTCAACGTGAGTTTGCCCTGCGTACTGCACTAGTTTTTTCTCATTCACCCGACCGTGCGGCATGCATATTAATTCGAACTTTGAAGTTGAACACGAATTCATTCCACGTACAAGAGCATGGTTATCCGAGTCACCACCTGGCTTGATAAAGGGGTGATAGAAACACAGCAATCGTTAAGGCGCCTTTAAATCGCGTGCCGTCAGAGAGAAAAAAATGCACTGACAGCCAGCGGCACTTTTTAAAGAAGACATAACATTTGCTTTGTCGAAGCTAAATGATACCGCTATGTGATGCGTTATGTGATGCTGTTCACTTCTGAGCAGAGGAATTCCTCCAAGTATGAGACCTTTTTCTGATGAAGCAATGTAATTCAAACGTGTAACACAGTGTATATATTATTATTATTATTTTTAAAATACTATCATTTTATATTTTTTCTATATAATATATATATTCCTTAATTTTTCATTTTTTCCCGATGCCATTTCACTTTCCTGTAATATTTCTCTTCAAATAGCGCGAACATTAAAAATGCAATGACTTTGTCTTACGTTTTGGCAAGACATTTCAAAATCGAACTGAAACTTTTTGGTTTTGTTTGCCCTGCATTTTTCTTAACGAGACGAGAAATGTAACCATAAGGTAGAGTTTTATTTTGTAATTCAATTATTATTTCAACATGACTTCAACATTCAACTAAATTGAAAAGTAAATCACCAGCATTATTTACAATTTACGACAAGTTTTCGTCATTTTATCTGTACATGACAGTTTTTGTCTCACATTACGAAAGCATACTAACAAGCGTAACGCTTTTATTAAATTCTTTACAAGGGCCAAAACAGGCAGGACTTAAAACAACGACACGCCGTTTTTTAACAGTTGTACGCAAGTAATTATTGAGAAAGCATTTTTGCTTTATCATTATGTTCTTGCATATAATATTCACATGCTTTACTAATTCTGTCAGTCATTCTTTGCAAGACTGGCAATCTTTTTCACACGCGCTAGCGTTCACACGTCGCACTTATGCTATTTATTATTTAAATCATAGCTGAGTTCAAAATACGATGCTTCATTTTGTACGAAGTTCTGTTGTCTTTTCATAATCTGTCGAAGGGCCATATCTTGAGCAAAATCTTTCGTAAAAAACTCATTTGCATTTCCTAACACGATCTAAGTCTCACAACCTGAGCAATGTTGCGTGTCGTAATTGATATCCTAAGCCAAAATAGAACTAATGGGTTCTTCAAAATGCCATTCACTCTAATCTTCACTAGCATTACAAGTATCTGAGCCGTAGAACTGTGCAGAATTTAAATGAAACGTAGTTGCGTCACAGTTTGGACAATTTAGATAAATGTAGATTTCAGTATGCAAAAGTTGGGGTTACTTATTTCGTTGCCCCAGCAGAAGAGGGGATTTAGTTTGAAGGGGTATGCAAACGCAGTTGACTCGCGCACTTAGCGTTGCTCACAGAACTAGCAGCAGCCATGCAGGACAAATCGTCGCTGGAGCTTTCGCGGGATGAGAAAATTAATGGAGGGATTGACAATCCAGTATTTGAAAGGAAGGTAAGACATTATGGAATTGGCGAATTACAATTATTATTGTTTATGAATCGCAGTGTGTGCTGATATCTGACCATTTTTTGCACATATGCAGTGTCTAAGAAGCAAGGTTAAAGACTTAACTTATATTGAGTAAGGTCAAAATGAATTTCAGCAATTCTTACTAATAATCTAACTTTTGAAATTATAAGAAAGTTGGGAAAAAGAGTGAAAATAGATATTGCTTTCAAAAGTGTGAGAGTAAGTTTCTTCATGTCCGATTTTACTCTCTCTCTCTCTCTCTCGCTCTGTGCAAACAAATTAGAACCTAATATATTTGAATGCATAGATCGATCCAACTCCGCGAGGACTCTCGCTGAATGCATCAGTTTAACAGATTACACGCATTCTTTTGTTTCCAACGTGCTTGTGTAATCACCGCTTTTCTGAAATCTACTTCGCCAGGAGGTGTGTTGATCTGTTAAACTGATTGCATTCAGCGAGAGTCTCCGCAGAGTTGGATCGATCTACGTAGACCGACAGGTTCAATGGAAATGGGCCCTAAGAGGTAAGAAATTCTTGAAAGTCTAACCTTTTCACAATAGACAGAAGATGGAAGCGCAACCCATAAGTTTTGATAAGATAAAATGACGTCTAAACAAGACAAATAGTTTTAATCGCAACAGTCACAATCTTAAAAAAAGGGGGGGGGGGAAGTATGTGCTCTTATGCCACGAAAACGAGGAAAGAACGGCGATCAACAAATTTGGTAACTCCCACGAATCTCTGTCGTTGCTGCTTTAGTCGCCTGTTGTCGTGTACGCAAAACCTGAAGTTCTCTGCAATACACTGTATGCAAGTGAAAGATTCTTCAAATGTTGTACAACAGTGGCGCTATCACATGCCGAGCGACTTGAGAGCCTTTGAGAGCATTCACATCGAGAAGAGCCGAGGTCTAGCAAGGCCGAGACCTAAATATGGGGGACCTACATGAAAGGAAGACCGCGTAATCCTTTAATGGTCTCTCAATGAATGTCAATGAAAGTCTTTTTCAAATCCTCTCTTTCATGTACTGTGAGGTTCATTAGAGAATGCATGGCTAGTGGCTTGGAAGATATCGTTACGCCATTGGTAAAGAGTGTGACGCACGTTTGCCCACAAGTGTTTTAGGACACGAACATGGCATTTTTATAGTGAACGGGGTTTCTGCCGTCCATTCTGGTATACTGAGATATTTCAAGTCTTCAGCGGCAAATGTGGTCAGTTTGAAGCGGTTGCATTTTCAAAAATGATGTATGTCCTGGTTTTCCCTACATGTCGATAGAAGCATATTCAAGATATGGATGAAGAAAAATGCTGCGCCCAATAAAAAGTCGATGAGTTAAGACCTGTGCACACAAATTATGTTTTACGGTGATCATGATATTTCACAAAATATTTCAGTTTTACATCAAGGTCTCTATCTTGGTTCAAATAGGTAATAGAAATGGGTTTTATATTCCTTCTATTTTCCCCTGCTTAAAACTCTGAAGTAACCATCGCTCCCACTCCCGTAGTCTAACTTTCCGCCTGCTTTGCCTTCGGAGACATCGACACCCATACACATTTTCACACATACGCTTGTGGCACAATCATGGCCTTGTGGCATTGCGACTGTTGAGACAGGTTTTTATATTGTATTATCTACTGCATTGTGCAGCTGTAGTACTTTAGTTTATTTTCAACTATTATGTTGTAACTGCACCAACCTTACGTCTATCTGTCTTTGTGTGTGTCTCTCTGTCTATCTATCTATCTGAGATAAAAAAGAAGCATATTAGAAAAAAAATTGACCTTTTTCTTTTTTCCAATTTTGTTATTGATAGTTTACAGGAAGTATGACCAAACACTTTTTTTGTGAAACACAAGTCAGTACATAGCGTTACATGTATGATTTTTGGTTAAGGGGGTTGTAGCTGCTTTTAATATGTTAGACATTCTTTAAAATTCCAGGCTATTTTCTTCGTTAGCGAAACCGAT